CATGTAGGGTTTAATCTTTCTGTATTTATTATTGAAGCGTTTGAGGCAGTATGCATATCAATATGCCCTTCCAGGCCCTGAAGAAAGCGATATTGCCTAAACATTAGCCACTTTTGTGTCACATGCGCTTTTGATTGTGATTGTCTGCCTCAAACGATTAGAGTCCTACTAGTCAATTCGGCCAAAACCCTGCAGTCAAGTAACTGGGAAGTATATGGGAGGCGGTTAGGAATCGCCTCCAACAAATAGGCTCCATGTCCACTCTGGGAGAGCCTAGTAAGCTAGCCGTGAGTATACCCAGCCCACGTTTAGAGGGCAGCAAGCTATAAGTGGGTATCAAAAGTGCTAAACAGTAAGAAAAAAACGGGCCTCATTCCCTTTACCCCAAAAGAGCCCTCAATTTCGCAGACTTCGGTAGGACGAGTACGGAGAGGCTGCTAAAATCTCAACGCCAATGGAAGCTGTCTGGATTTCAAAGAACTATGGTGACGATCTGTACCTACAATGCACGTACACTTGCATCCGAGTCCTCGATAGGAAACTTGCTCATGCGAGCAAGAAGGATAAGGTACGACGTCATCGGCCTGGCTGAGACGAGAGGACGCCAGCGTTTCAACGCCGTCTATGACACCGGAGAAGAACTGTTTCTCAAAACATACGACAGTAGAGGAGTCGGCGGCTTCGGCGTTCTCGTCAACACGAGTTTGTCCATTAACATCGATTCATTCGAACAACTTTCAGCCCTAATCGGACGTTAACGATTAAGAAGACGTGGATCAATTCCGACTTTGACAATCTTCATCGTTTACGCGCCGACGTCAAGCTATGACGAAGAAGAAGTCTAAGCGTTCTATATGGACTTAGAGAAGTTCTACAGAGAAGACCACACATTCTTCAAGGTCATCATTGGAGATTTCAACGCCAATGATTGGACCAAGAAGAACGTCTGAAGAACGTCACATTGGGACCCACGGATTAGAGTGGAACGAACAGGATGAGCGGCTATCTGAGTTTATCATGGCGACCAAGACAATCCATGGTAACTCGCAATTCCAGAAGCCTCACTCTCAACGCTAGACGTGGGAGTCTCCTAATGGAGAGTTCCATAACGAAATAGATCACATCATAGTGAATAGGTTTTGCCTAACCGATGTTGCTGTTGTCCTAAAATTCTACACGGGATCAGACCATTGTCTCTTTCGTACAAGATTCTATTTCCCGCGGAAAGGAGAAAAAGCCGCTAAATTCCAAAACCGAAGTCCCAGAACCACCGTAAACTGGGATTTATTCAATTCATTAGTCGGCTGTGGTGAAGATGTCGTTGTCGATAACATCGACGAAGAATACGATCGGCTCACTCAAGATCTTCACGCTAGCACTATGAAAACTGAGAGTTCGAAAGTCAGCAAGAGACGCCTGTCTTCAGAAACACTCGAGCCGACACGCCAGCGTGGAACCGGACGAGCTGCAGGCAACCGCGAACTAACGTACGAACTTGCAAAGCAATGCAGACAGGCCATAAAAGAAGATCTTAAAGAGAGAAGTGCAGCAGTAATGGTCGAAGCTGCAGAGGTTGGGAAAAGCATTCGCAAAGCCCACCGAAGCTTCGCCAGTTATAAGACCAAGATGATTGCACTCCGATGCCGAGACGAAACAGTTGCAGCAACCAGAAAGACAATGGAGAAAATCATTCACGAATACTACTCGGATCTCTTCGATAGCCACGTCCACCTTCCGTTATATGAAATAAAGGAGAATGGATATGTTGTACCACCGGATGTCCCTTCCGAAATCCGACATGCCATTTCGTCGGTGAAAAATCGAACAACACCAAATCCGGAGAGGATAAGACCAGAGCACCTGAAGAACCTTTCGCCAGTCTTCGTAAACACACTGGATCGGATCTTCACACGTTGCCTGCCTGAATGCAAGGTACGTACTTAGTGGAAGACCAGCAAGACCGTGTTATTGTTCGAAAAGGGTGAACGACACGATACAGGCAACCATCGCCCAATCTGCTTGCTGTCCGTCGTCTACAAACGTTCACTCGAGTCATCCTAAACAGGATCGAGAGAACACTAGAAGAAGGACAGCCATGTGAGTAAGTAGGGTTTCGAAAAGGAATTAGTACGATGGTCCACATCTAGACGGTAACAAGACTCAATGAGGTATCGCGAGAGTACAAAAGACCGCTCTGTCTCACTTTCATCGATTTAAAGAAGGCCTTTGACTCAATTGAGATAGAAACAGTCATGGAAGTTGTTGATGGTCAGTCAGTACTCAGTATACTCAGTACTTACTCAGTACATAAAGATTCTTTGTGAGTTGTGCAAAAATTTTACAACCAAGATATCACCATTCTACAACGATATTAACATTGACGTCAAAAGAGGAGTTAGGAAAGGCGATACCATCTCACCAAAATTATTTACTTCAGCCCTCCAGAACGTCATGCGAACATTGGAATGAGATAATATGGGAGTGGAAATCGACGGTCGGCAGTTACACTATCTTCGCTTTGCTAATGACGTCGCCCTTATAACATCAAACATTAGCCAAGCGGAACGCATGCTTGACGACTTTGATAAAGCCTGTGAAAAAATTGGTCTCCGAATGCTCCAGTTATATCTATCTAGGTCGGGAAATCAACATGATGAACGACTTAGCTCCAGAGTTGAGCAGAAGGAAAAGATCGGCTTGGGGAGCTTCCAAGAGCATCGAGGATGTAGTGAAGGGAACAAAAAACACCCGACTCCGCGCTCAGTTTTTCGTCTCAACGGTACTTCCTGCCCTAATGTATGCGTCAGAAACGTGGTTACTGCGTAAGCGGGATGAAAGATCATTCAGCGTTATCGATCGTGCAGTCGAGAGGACGATGCTAGGAGTATTCCGTTCAACGCAAGTAAGGAATGGGATCCGAAGCTCCGATCTACGTCAACGACCAAAAATCAAAGACGCCATTCTGTATGCCAAACAGTCTAGGATGAGGGCCGGACACGTAATGCGTTTGAACGACAACCTACGGACGAGAGCCGTTAGTGACTGGATTCCACGGGATGTCAAACGCACTGCAGGAAGACCACCGACCCGAAGGTCAGAGTTCTTCACAAAGAGCCTAGAAGAAAGATATGATGCTCGACGAGTCCCTATAGCGAGCACAACCCGCTGGGCTACTCTTGCATGCGACAGGGAAAAATGGAAGATTTACTGGCCCCGCTCGAGTCACTCGACGACCAACAGGACTACAGCTGATACAGGTGATATAAATACTTTACTGGTCTTTAACCGCTCATAATTGGTGAGAGACTAGTCGCTGTTAGAGAGATAATACGACAGCTCCCAATGTTGCTCATGAGATGCTATCCTCAATCAGAAAGTAAAAAAAAAGTGTTCTTGTCCTGCAGCAAAGAAGGATTGAGAAAAACCACCACCCATCGTTGCTACACTACATTGATTTGCATTGTTCTACACAACCGCCTCTGGAAGTTATTCAAAGTTGCGTTCTTGGTAGGGGAACTCAATACTCCAACTACTACACGCAAAACATAAGGTGCAAGTGGCAACAGGCACACAGTGGTGAAAAATTTACGCCTGTAGCTTATGGCTGCCTGAATATTTCGCAATTAGATAGAAAGATGGAAAAACTCTTGTCGCCGTTAAACACTTTTGAGCAGTTGATATTAAAGATGTAACAAATATCGATAGAAAAACGTGCTTATTCTCTGCTCCTATTACGAAGTCTTCTGATAGCTAGTTACAGAAAAAACGAGGGAGAGAAAACTAGACGAAGAAAGTGGGAAAGCTAAAAGAACAGATACGAAGAACCGGCTGTTATCGTACAATATCCAGAGGCCGCGATGTACTTCTCCGAATGATACCGCGACCCGCATAGTTGCATCGGATGGCGAAGCAGTAATAGTAACAAGCAGTGGTGAATTCTCGTGAATAACGTAATGTCTACCTATAGCAAACAGACACCATTCCCATCTCGGCATTTGCGACGATCAACGCTATATGTATCAAGATAACGGCTAAAAAAGACAAAGCTGTAGGCGTTGATCAATCCCTGAGAGGGATGCGCCACGCATTCGGCCTCATTAAGCATCTTTGGAGGTGATTGAATGCACATCTGGCTTTTACAGTGACTTCCGGTACCCTACCGATGTATCGAACCAGTGCTACTATCCTCCCAAACAAGTCTGGTACCAATTTGACGACTCAGGTGATGGAAGGCTTGATGAGCCTTGGGCGCGTTTATCCATGCCAAGTGTGTTGCAGGGGGCCTCCAACCATTTCGCCATACGTGCATGAAGATATCACTGGAAATATCAAAGCTTGGCTTGGTTGGCGGACAGTGTTCGTGACTTCTACTTAGCGCTCTCATTTATTTCATCAGAAACACATGGTGACATAATTTGCTAACATAACAACTAATAACTGTACACAGTGCAAATTATATTGGCTGTGGAAAGTAAATCCTTTCTGATGTATTGTTTGGGTCAAATGACATGTACAATCTGCATGGGAGCTATAGCGCGCGGCAGAACAGGTTAAGATTTTACTTGTACCCAACAGAATCATTAGGTGATCAAGGAGATTGGAAACCACAGCAGATTCTGCTCACTAGTATAAACGCTGATATAACCAAACGGAAAAAACTGTCCGAAACACGTTCCTCTGTTCTTCACGAGTTTACAAAAGTTAAAATGAATATGAGTGAAAGAAATGGCGCAGTATGAGAAAAGATAAAAGTTCGGATATCGAATTAAAAACAGTTCACTCCAAAACGCAACTAGCAGAGTAATTTTGTGATAAAAGAACAACAACAATGCTCTGAGGACATTTCAACAACAGATCGAAAACAGAGCCAGCAACAAACAAATAAACAAGTATAGAATGCACCAGTAAACGTATACCGTTTCTAAAAAAAACCATTAATGACCTGTTCCAAAAACGCGTCGAATCTGCAACGAATGAAACTAATCGATAGCTATTTGATACTACATGTCTACAATTGGAAACCAATCATGCACCAACCTCTTAATATCCATAACTACGACTCTGCGATAGGGCTTGTAAGATTTGCCATCTTTTACAAGGATATGAAACTTGCTCGAACTTTCCACTTCACTGTGAACTGGATAATCGAAAAAATTTGCTTCACCTTCACATATCTGAAAGGGATGAAGGAACTCAAACAGAGGAGGTGGTGAGAATGAAAAATTAGAACGAAACATAGAGAAAGGAAGATACCTGGTACAAAACTCTGTCTTCAGCATTGTCGAAGATGACATCAGCATTTGATAAGTCGCGAATCGCCATTTTCCTCTTAAAAGTGTTAATTAAGCAGAAAGACAAAACAGTAACAGCAGTAAAGAAGTGGACGAGCTGGAAACGTGCCGTCTCACCTTCTCAGCTTTTCCCAGCTTTCTCTTCTTCTTCAAAGACTTATCGTGCACCCCATCAGGCATATTCAAACTCAGATTTCGGTCTTCTATACGCAGCTTGTGAATATATATCATTTTTTGGTAGGGCTTCTTCAGTTTAACCAAGTCGGATATGAAAGGGAAAAGCTTTACATAACGTATTACAAGTGCAGGAGATTTTCAATAAATCCCCGAAAAGGAAGCGATGCTTTCTACGGTAATGATTTTGTCAGAAGCAAAAATTCATTCACAACAAATAGATTACCAAAACATTGCTTGGTTATTGGTTAAACTTGGCTAACTACATCGTTAAACAAACTGAATTAGTTACTGTAGTAGTTAAAGATAGCAGCTATGAAGTAGAAAAGGTAAAAGAGAAGGGCAACATATGTAAAAGGATAAAGGATGAAGCTCTCGGCGTTGATCAATCCCTGAGGGATACACCACGCATTCGACCTCATTAGGCATCGTTGGAGGTGATTTAATGTATATTTGGCCTTTACAATGACTCTCGGTGGCCTACCGATGTATCGAGCCAGTGCTGTTATCTTTTCAGAGAAGTCTGGTACCAATCTGCCGGGATGGAGGACATGGTGGGCCAGTGGTGTGGGAATCGGTCTCATGTGTATTGCAGGGCCCCTCCGACATCACATACACCCTTAACATGGGCAAAAAAAGCACTAAGTTAGTAACAACAATGAATATTGATCAAACAGCAGATAAATCAACATGTAAGTACTACGGAAAAAACCTACAAGTCACAGAAACAACATAAAGAAAAAAAAACAATTTGTTTGCTGTAAAAGTTTGACATTCTACGGTACTACTTTCACTTAAGATATAAAGAAAATGAAAAGTACCTGATACTACTGAATGACGGCTTGACTATTTGATAGGGAAAGTTCAACATCCTCTCGTTTATGAAAATCCCAGTCCGTTTAGTCTTCGCCACTTCGAGCGCGTCACGGAATTCCTTCAATGCGAAGTTGCGCGATTTCATCTCCAGAAAATCTAAGATATCCTTCATAAATTTCGGTGCATTGCCCTGAAAGATTATGACCTATCACAGTCATCTAAATATTAACTAAAGAGAAAGTATTAACCAGGTTGTTCAGCGACACTGCAGTGACGACTCCATACACAACGTTCTCATTATCTTCTTCACTATGATCTTCTGCCGGCTAAAGAACTTTTCTGGTTAGGCAGAATAGTAATCAACACTACAGCAAATATTCTTCATTGATAAGCTAACATGAGGTCGGCGAACAACTTTATTCGATTAACGTTCCACACAATGGGCGAGTGTGGCGCAGTGGTCGGAGGCGCTCAGCAATACACATGAAATCGATCCCCGCGCCCCTGGCACACCACGCCTTCCAACCCTCTGGGGTCGGCAAATTGATAGTAGACTTGTCTGAGAGGATAGCAGCACTGGCTCGACACAGTCGACGGCCCGACGGTAGGCCATAAAGGACAGATATGCATTCAATCACCTCCAAATGATGCTTAATGAAGTTGAATGTATGGGATCCCTAAGAGATTGATCAACGCCGAAAACTTTATCCTTAATTTAAAGTCTCGACGTCTTCGTTTTACTCAGACTACAAACTACAAGAAGTGCAACGAGCCGAATTTTGAAAAACAGGGCTAAGCAGCAACTCCCTCAGTAATACATTTGCAACGATGGTGGTTCATCGGTAATTGCCGATATAATTTTTCGATAATTAAAGCGCTCGACGACTTCATAAGCTTCTAGAAAAGACTTTGCCCCATCTCTTCAGTGGTATATGAAGTCTTCCTCAAAGCACCGGCAACATTTCATGTTCTGAGATTAGAAACTGAAAAACGCATGGCGCAAACGTAGAAGGCACAGGCGTCGTCGCCATGGTGCTTTACTCGACAATCGAGGAGTCTCGACGAAAAAAGAAAAGAAAACTTTCTGGGGTCAATTCGTACTAATCATGGTAGGGTAAACCTGCATGCTGCTCGTGTAGATGGGCAGAATCTGACGGCTTCTTACCTCTAACAATAAATCCACAAGAAGCTGAGATGATTGTTGGATTTTGAAAGACGCAAAGAATTTCATAAACATATGCAGTCCAATAAATGTATTTCACAAGGATTTGTTAGCAAACTGTATGAAGGCCGGTTGTTCTTTTTTCCACAAAAATCAAAGATCATGTAGAAGAAGAAATAGTAAGCAAGAAATGTGGAACTACCCCAAAGACTAATCCAAGAGGACTCTGAGCGATGATGGAGTCCGCGAACGTCTCAAGATCGATGTCCGCTCTCAAAAAGATCTGCAATGAAATCTTTCGATATAGGTTAGGATTTTAATCAATCGATAGCCACAATATGACTTCCATAAATATCGTATATATACCAAGTATTCAGAAGTACTAAGAAAGACTGTCGACTTCGCACCTGTGTGAGCATATTGACAACTCCTTCCCGGTCACCAGATTCCATTGGAAACGCCTCAATATCGACCTCAATTCGTCGGATGCTCTCATCGTCGATAAGGTCTCCACTATCAGAAGCATCGTTCGAATCTGAATAAGGAATTTCTGTCCCATGAACCTCTCTATAAACGGCTAATTCAGCTTTGTATTATCCATTTGGCATGTGTAGAGCAGTGGTCAGAGGCGTCCTGCCATACATATGGGATTGCTCCCCGCGCCCCAGGCTCAAGAAGTCATCCATCCCTCCGGGGTCGGTAAATTGGTACCAGATTTGTCTAAGAGGAGAGCAGCACTGGCTCGATACATCGGTAGGCCATAAAGGACAGATATGCACTCAATCACCTCCAACGACGCTTAAGAGTCGAATGCGCGCCGCATCTCTCAGGGATTGATCAAGGCCGAGAGCTTTATCCTTTTTTTTACTATCCATTAGCAAAACTTTAGATGGTATGAAGTGTAAACCTTCGGAATCTCGTTCGTCAGCACGGTAGACGGCGCCATTCTCACGTGAAGTATCGCAAGATGTCCCGACTTCCTCCAAAATGGGCTTCTTCTTAGCTTTCCTGTGCTAAAATTCTCTGTATTCAGTAAACATTCTAGTGTCAACTCCAAAAACAATGAAATATATGAGGCAAAAACCAGTCAGAAGTAAGCTACTAAAAAGTGACGAGATAGCACCGACTTCTTTGGCTTTGCGTAATCGTTTCCGACATGAAGTTCTCGTTAGAACCGCTGAACTTGACGAAGCTCTATTCTTCATCTTTATGCCCACTGAGGTCGAAAAATATGTTAGCGACCAGGATGTGGTACGAAGGGAATATGAAAATAGAACAAACAAGGAAATGATTTCGTGGACAATATTGGAAAGTTGTGCGGAAATCAGCAATAGAGCGCGAAATTATCACAGTAGGTAGACTGTGATATTAAAAATCTGTCAAAATATTTTAGACTTAGTCTATATGGACTGTCTAAGCAATCTATACAGAAGGAGAGACCATTAAATATCCGAAATATCTAGGAGCCACTGCAATATTCCGTGGCCCAAGCTTTCGATCATCTCCAGTAGAAATGCAGTTTGTAGATTCCTGGCCTCACGAAATCACCGTTTTTTGCCTTTGCTTTTGTGGCATCTCAGTAATCAGGTCTTAACTGAACTCGGTGAATGTTAGGTTGGTAGATTTCACAATTTTCCTTCGTTTTTGTCTGCTTTATCTACCTGTATGGTCCGCAATCACATATTACGGCTACTTTTTCTATCAGTTTGTTGCCTTGGATCCACCATCGGCTAAGGTAATTCCGCGTTTGCGTCTAGGCTTGACGGCAACCTAAGAGTTCTCTCCTCCTTATGAAGGTGACTGCTTAGTGGAATCGTAGAATAACACTTCTGGAGCGCTGGATTTTCACCACAGACATTCACTGACCTTTACGGACTGGAATGTGGTTTCCTCATATAAGTATAGTAGCGGTTTGCGAATCTTGAAGGACTAAAAAACATGATGGAGCCTGGGATAGCATAAGTTTACTAGATAAATGGGTTCCATATTTGAACTGAAATAAAAAAAGGATAAAGCTCTCAGCATTGATCAATTCTTGAGGGATACGCCATGCATTCGACTTTACTAAGTATCGTGTATGTGATTGAATGCATATCTGGCCTTTACAGCGATTGCCAGTGGCCTACCGATGTATCGAGGCAATGCTACTACCCTCCTAGACAAGTCTGGCAACAATTTGCCTATCCTGGAGGGATGGAGGGCTTGGTGAGCTTGGGGCGCCGGGATCGATCCCATGGGTGTCGCAGGGCACCTCCGATCACTGCACTACACGTGCCCTATATTCGAAATATAGTCATGTGATTACTGAACTTTTTCTCTAGTTCTTAGTACATGGCGTGTGGAAAAGAAAAATGGGAAAGTCTGAATTTCTTCGGACATTTCGGACGACCTCTGAACCTCCGGTGCAGAATAACCACAACTAATTCCTCCTTCTAAGAAGGCGGTGCTTCTTATGAACCTTAGATGAATCTTAAAATTTAGGGCTAACATGGTCAACGTGAACACGGCGATTGTTGCTATGTCATTTTGCACTTGATCTGATTTGGCACTTTTTATGCCAACAAGCTGAAGTCAATTCCAGAATAGAATTCCCAATTTTCCACTAATGTGAGCTCTCTAAAATGACTACTCATGCGCTGAAATGGCTACGAAGACTAACAAGAGGACGACTCTAGGATGCTAGCAGGTTTTAACACCTGTTCGATCGGTAGCAATATATTTACACCAGCACCAGCATATTAGCATATTAGCATATTAGTGCCAACCAGCCCATCCCAGAGGACTATTTTTTACACCAGGCACATAATTGCGTTCGATTCGCTCTTTACCAACTATTCACCACCCATGAAAGACACTCTGTCTCGCAATCAGCTGCCTAGATTTTAGGGTGACATAACAGTGATGAGCGCATTTAGCGCAGAGAGATCACCGGTACCCTGTGATACACACATGTGGTCGTTGGTTCGATCACACGCCTCGGCCCAGCGAATCCATCTATCCCTTCGGAGTGGGCAGATTGATACCAGATTTGCCCGGGAAAATAGCAGCACTGACGATACATCTGCAGGCCAATGCAAGTCATGTGCAGGACAGATATGCATCCACTCACCTCTGACGATGCCTGATGCAGTCGAAAGCGTGGCGCGTCACGCAGGCATTGACAAACGATGAGAACTTCATCCTTTATCCTTCGTTGATGATGAGGAATCTGTGAAAAAAAAAACATGCAAATGGAGTTGTTTTTCATCAAAAGAGCTTTAGGTAGCAAATAAGATTCGGGTAATTAGTGTATCGCTCAGCTGGATATCGTGCGTCAAAACATGAGCAACTCTTTTATTACCAACGGGCGTAACCGATATCACCATTCTAAAAATCCTGAAACCGTTTTAGTTAGCTTAGAGCGCAACAAAATTTTAAAACCAACTTTCCTTTAACCTCGGTGGTAAATTAACCAGCTTATATTTAAATAGTCGAGCTTACACGAGGTTGATAAATAGATTTATTCGGCTAACTTTTTGACGTCTTCGTCTTCTCGATGTGGCAACTTCGTCTTCGTAAGGAGTAAGATCTCCTTCGGTGGAGCACCTCGAATGAGACATTCTCACTCGGCGAAGCTCTTTTATACAGGGCGAAAGATGTTGATAATAGTGATTATCCGGTAATAACGACTTGCTTTTTCCGGACAATCCACCAAGATTAGAGGGCAGTCGGTTGTGAAAGATCGTTACGCTCTATAAAAAAAGGATAAAGCTTTTGGCGTTGATCAATCTCTGAGGGATGCGCACCATGCATTCGACTTCATTAAGCATCGTTTGGAGGTAATCGAGTACATATCTGGCCTTTATAATGACTCGCGGTGGCCTACCGATGTATCGTCCCAGTGCTGCTATCCTCCTTGACAAGTCTGGTCCCAATTTGCCGATACCGGATGGATGAAAGGCTTGGTAGTCCATGGGCTTGGGATCGATTCCACGTGTGCTGCAGGGCGCCTCCGAAAATAATATAAAAAATAAAATATAGAAAATAGTTACGCTCTGTACTAGTTGATAACGATACCGACTTTTGCAGGGTGGATTGTCCGGGATAGACATATAGTTGCCACCAGATAATCACTAATATCAGTATCCATCTCCTTGTATAAGAGCATCGTCGGGTGAATATGGCTCATTCGAGAGGTACTCCACTGAGTAAGATCCGATTCGATACGAAAGCGAAGACACCACGTAGAGAATACGAACAGCTGTGGACGATCGATTCAGATCATTGGCTCTGATGAAGACGAAATCGTCGAAACGTTACCCGAGTAAAGGTTGTATAATAACCTCGTTTAAGCTCAAGAAGTTGAACACATTTTGAATAGCATCTATCCGTTTCAAGCACCAGTGTCGTCTGCCACTCGACACTTTTGTCGTAATGTGAATTCTCTTTGGAATGTTTTACTGGCCAACGCCTTTTTGCTTGTTCGTTAGGTAATCCTTTGTTTTCGTGATTTTCCGAGAATAGCCGCAAGGATCTCGGCAGAAGAGACATTGCAGAGGAATCGTTCGTACGTACTAATACCACTTTTCCTTACGTAGTTTTATACCCTTCAGAGTGCAGGTCATAAAGCATTCCCTCTATTGAGTTGAAAAATGAGAAAGAAGTATTTTTCTCTACATTACATCGATCATCACGTGAACAATAGTGCAACATTGTTGTAAATCGGTCCGGAGCGAGATCGTGTTCGTCGTTGGACCATCTTACGCGCAATCATTTTAAATGAAGAAGACCATCTAAGCTCCAGGTTAGAGTGAGAACCTTCCCCGAGTGTCATCGCCGTAGTTCTTTACCTGAGCGATCCAATTACCGTTGCGATTGGCCTAGAATCGAACAGAAGTTTCCGATACATTTCCATTCCTTCTAACTTTTCCTTCAATACTACGCGTGCATTGTTTTTTCGCTATTAATGCGTTTGTTAATGTTAATGAACGAATGGGTAAAGGTGGACTTTCACTAGAAGACCTCATAGATATCGTTTTTCTTGTTTCCTCCAATATGAAGGAATGGATTTCTTTCCTACAGTTAATGAAAAGCTGTCCGTGTTGGATGAAAGACGCCGTGTATGTATATAACTATAGTCCTTGTACAAGTTTTTTTTCTCTACATCACCTGTCTGCACAGCTACTTTGCGGAACCCAATAATATCTACATTCCATTGCATTCGATTTCACATCTACCACTCGAGAAAACCATGAGCTTTTGGGTGTGAGTTCAGTTAATGATGAAGATCCTCGTCTTCCTCATGCATGAATGTCGTCGAATACTGGTCAATTCTTGGAGTCTTGCGCTAGTCGTGCCAAGGAGTTCCCGCTTATATTGAAGAGATCAAGCTCATTCCGTGCAACTCTGATACCAGTTTCTCGGGATGGGAAGAGGAAATGAGGGATGAGGAATTTGTTTGGTGCAGCTGGGAGTATGGTGCCTATTTCTTGACCCTGAGGGAATGAGCGTCTGAGTGTGTCCGAAACGGGTTCGAACTAGCGCTTTGCTCGTATTGAGCGAGCGTCACTACTATCGCGCTATAAATACTCGTTTTAACTGAAACACAGCTGTGGTTGTGAATTTCAATGAGGTTCATAATTGTTGATTAACAAATCCGTTTTTCGAACTAACGTTTTTTATTTCTTTTTAATCTTATTTGTCAAGTTTCCGTCTTCCTTTTCGAAAGCTATCAGAGTTTCGATGACCTTCAACCGTCGTTCTCCATCTGCCGCACAGCGGTCGAATACACACTCATCCACCACTGAAAAGTCTTTGAGTCTTTAGTCTTTGGTTCGCCAGGTTTTTTCTGTTATTGCTTTTATAGCCGGATATTCTGAAGGTCGACGTTTTGAAGTCAAGCGTTTATCGACGTCGAACATTTTTGAGACATGCCAAGAAACTCAGCGATTAACCTCCTAACCACTTTACTACTAATTCACTCATTCCGGAATGAATCATCCTCTGAATCGTTCTATAGTTATGCAGTAGTAAATGGCAAGAAGGTATAAAATTATTGGACTACGTTAGGCGAAGATTATTTTGGTAACCGAAGAACATCTAACTATACGCCACTTAAGTCTTTCCTCCGCGCATGCATCACAACAAAATAGTTTCCGGTTCGCCAGTTGTAGATGCCAACAACGAGTTCCATTAGGCATTCGACTCGTCACGAAGGCCAAGACGAATCACTTCACGCAAGGGTGTTCTGTTACAATCTTTACCACCGTTTCGGACGTGTTCGCATTGCTTCTGTGCTTCTGCTTATCCATTCATCTTTGTGTAGAATCTGATTTTTGAATAGTTTTTCTTTGTGAAATTGAACTCGTATCATCTAAATCGGGTCAGTTCAATGTTCGAAGGCATGACGGATATTCCGTTTCTCGCGACCGAAAAAGTATTTGTCCTTATTCTTTGTCGTCAAAAATGATCCATTATTTCTTCTTTCCTGCCTTAAATTCGGAAATAAATCTTAAAAGTATGATGATTATTTTATCGATCCTTATCGATCTGTAGCGAATACTCATAAGATCATCCGAATTTGTATGTCAAAGTGTGTTTAACTTTTATTTGCTACCTATTATTTCTTATGACAGGGTATAATGTGAAGTAAAACCATAAAGATACTGGGATGTAAGCAGAACACGGAGACTCAAAAGGGCGTCGAACTCATGAACATCGTTACCGGGAGATCATGTGCTATCCACTACACCAACCGAGGTTCATGTTTTGCCTTTATCTCAGCCATGTTTTTGGTCTATGGGTTTGTTCTGTAAAAAAAAAAGACTAGCTGAGAAAAAGACAACGTATAACCTGGGTTGGTATGGTGAAAACAACGCAGGCTCCCGGTAAGGATAATCGTGGACTCGGAGCCCTTCTAAGGTTCCACAGTTTTGCTAGTATCTCAGCATACATCTGGTTATATTAAAGTGATTTTGTAATACGAATTTCGTTTAACATCGTTATGAATAAGCAATGTATTCTTTTTCGCTGGACCGCTGCCTTTTATCTGCATCAGTTCGATACAGATTAGAAGGACACTGTATGGAAAAAACTCAAGCAATAAAGATGTATAAAGTGAATAGTTTTGGAAAAACTGAACCAAGCCCAAAATGAAAATATTTCCTCGCAATCGTTTATTTTAACTATTTTCTGATTTTCTTGTGTGCAGTAGGCTGATAAAACCAATAAGCTAGCTGTATTCAACGGTGACTATGTTAACTAAAGTTTAAACTAATGGCTCGCAATTCCCTTCTTCCTTCTTGGCTTCCGTAGTTGGTGCTTTCTATTCGGTAACATTTTTCCTTCTGATGTTGTCGACTGTTGTCACCGGAGATGAGGCTGCGTTCCTCAAACGCTTGTTCCCTTCAGAATGGTCGTTTCATCGACAAGACTGTTTAATCACGCGTCTAGGTGAGAAGTGTTCGATTATTTGTTGCATTTGGTGATAAACTTTCATTGTATCGGATCCTAATCACGAACGCAAAGCGATTTCCCATTCGCATTCCAGGGACGCCGGTTGAGAAGACTGAGGGTGCAAGCGGCGTCAGGGTGTTAGGGGTATTAGCAATGTGGTTTTTGGCGTTGTATAGTTTTTTTTCCTTGTTAATATTTTCCAGAGGGAATCAGCTGTGACCATAAATCGCTAGCGACCGGTTTTGTTTTCTTGTTCGTTCACCAATATAAATCGCTCGAAAGCTTTTCTGATTAGCTTATTCTGATCTTTTCCTTATCAGGCAAAACATTACAAAGTAGTTTTTGTACTCTCACTGCACTCATTTGTGTCCGGAGTTATTGAGAATGTTTTCTTCTGCTGGTGTTTTTGGTTCCGACCCACTGCCAATGATTATTTTAAGAAAACGCATTCTCTGCGATGAAGATCTTGTGTTGAAACATCTTCAGGAGCCCTTTCATTCTGGAACTCTCTTCAGCCAGCGTTTGATTTGCTGTGATAACTGGTCGTATAACCGTATGCTGATATGCTCGACTAGTTTTTAGCAAGAAACACCTTTTTCAACGGCCAACAAATCCATGTCTGAGAAGAACTACAATTTCCTTTACCAAACAACACGGAGTGATTGAAGAATATTTTTTAGCGTATTTATGTGTTTGTATGTGACAAATATTGTCACCCACGTTTCTGCAGATCATGCTCGCTTCAAAGTATAGGAAGGCCGTGTTAAGACAAGATGTGATACCTAGCTTGGTTTCATGGTTTACTCTTATTTATACCACTCGAATTCATATATGTTCCGGATTCCTGTACTTATTTAATTCTATTTGTTGTCGTTGGATGGCAACCGTTATCTATAAAGGTCTTTCGACTTGCATATGGGTTCGGTTACCTCTTAAGAACTTTGTCTTCTTATTAAATGCCCAAGAAGTAGATTCTCTGTGGAATACTGAAATGGCTCTACTAGAACGTTCACTGGTCTTCGTAGGTAGTGGCTGATCTTTGTGGAGCGAAGGAAGCTTTTCTCAGGCAAGGCCGGTACAGACCTGTGGATTGAGAAATCTAGATGCTTGCTTGGACTTTGCGGAGTCGAACAAGCGAACATGCGTGTCCACACATTGCGATATTAAGCATAGCGCTTCCACTACAGGTAAATTGGAAGGTAATGCCCGTTTGTGTTGTCGGAGGGTTTGCAGAAAATGAGCAAATAAATGTTTCTACCAGATCGTACGAGCGGTTTAAAGTTTGAAAGCGACGAGATTCTCGAAGAAATACAACAAGGTGAAAAAACATCTAGATACCAATCTCGTATCGATTCATCAACCGTGCAAAGCATCAGTGCCATGGTGTGTTTTGTGTGCTACTAATTGAAAAAGTTGGAACCATTTAGCTTTTTTTTGTTGGGCAAAACGTCTGCATCAAAGATCGATGCTATTAGCGCTCTATAGAAGGACAAGTTCTGTCGAGATAGGCAATGTGCCGTATTAGAATAGTAGTGATAACAAGCTTCGTCCTCACTGAACTTATTCTTGGCAAAGCGTCATACGTGGTGACTCCTTCACTGGAAAACGAGAACGTGCGCATCCATCACCATGTTTGTCTGCTCTTCGATTTTTCTCCTTTTTCAAATTTTCACTCCGATTTTGTTTGTTTCACTTATGATTATAACTGGATGAAACACTGAAGCAAAGGAATTGTTTTCAACCACAAAAGTAGCTCCGGGAGTAGTGGGAACTTCGGGGCTGAGGAGAAGTCAGAGATCCACCTACGATCACAATCATGCAAAAGCGAGTCCTTCGTACTGTATAGAGCCATCAGGACACTGCGGTTGTGCTGGCAACGCCGAATCTTCTGCTTTCGCAGTCGGCGGCGATTACACGTGACTAGAAGGTGAATGGCAGTAACAATCAGAGCGTTAAATATGCGACCATAAAAGGGTTGTTGCCTGGATTTCTTGAGATTCTTACAGCATCTGTACATTTTAGCCAGCTGTTTGCGAAGAAGAGATGATTTTTGTTCTTGTATTGAAAGAAACCAGGAGGTTGCAGAAAAGCGAGGTTGTAAAATCGTTGTAAAAAAAATGTAAAATTCGCTTCGTTGGTGGTTTCAGTTAGGATCCCACCGTGGCATCATCGTTTGGACACATTTATCCCTTGAGATATGTTAGTTTTTCATGCAAAGTTCACGTTTTCGATTAATTCTTAGATTCACGTGTACTAACAGTGCTCACTTTCCAACCGCATGTTTTTAATCAGCTTTGTTTTTCCTTAGCAAATTTTAGTCGTCATAAAGTTTTAATTTTAGCTAACACTCTGCTAAGACATTTTGAACTAACAGAATGCTACCATTTTGCTACATATCTCTGGATGCTTGGCAATTTCTTTCGAGGGTAGCCAAACAAATAATGACGAATTTTAGAGGCGAAGAAGCTCTAACGTTATCGGCTTCATGAACATTTGCAACTCATTTATCAAACAGTTTTAAGCTCGGCTTCAGTACCCTTTCAATACATAAGTTTGCTCTGCACCTTCTAAGAAGAAGCAATTGTTCGCATTTACCTTTGACTGAATGTGGGGCTTATCATTTTCACTTTTAACCCGAACGAACCTTGGTGTGTTCCCTTTCATATTTCCTTGAATGTCGATGATGTACGGTTTCACTGGAAAACTGGTTCGATCACCGGCATTTGCGATGAGATCGACCTTTTCAAGCAGACCATATAAGCGACAAATTAAATATCTCTTGAATGCTTTTGTTATGTCTTCGTTATGGTGAATATAAATGGAATGAAAAACACCCAAGTAACCGAGTACACGCAAGTTTCCAATCAATGAAAGTTCATAGCTGTCTTACTGTATATTCGTTAGAATCGGTGTTCACTATTCGGTCTGTTTGACTCTCTCTCTATCCCTCTCTCTCCCTCTCTCTCTCTATATATATATATGCATATATATGTATGTACATATTGAGGTCCTAAACGGGCGCATGTAGCGCAATGGTGGAGGCGGCGTGCAATACGCACAGGATCGATGCCCAACCCCAAGACTCACCAAGCCTTCCATCCTCCGGGATCGGCAATTTAGTATTAGACTTGTCTGGGGGGACAGAAGTACTGGTTGGATATATAGGTAGGCCACCGCGAGCCATTGTAAAGGCCAGTTATACATTCATTCAGTTCCAACGATACCAATGCTTAATGAAGTCGAATGCATGACGCATACCTCAAGGATTGAACAACGCCGAGAGTTTTATTCTTTCATTTATTTTGTATATTAAGCTGATCATATCTGCGAAAAGAAAAGCCTTCACAATTCGAAATCACGTCAAAAATCACAGCATCATCGAAAGAATGAGGAGCTTCATAACCGATTTTCCCTCTTTTCTCCTTCACCTGTTCTCTCTCTCTCCCTCTCTCACTTTCTCTCTCAACGAATACCTTTCACTCACAAGACGAATGTATCAGATGGGAAAGCAAGGATTACTAGAACATGCTTGACATTTTCGAAGAAAAAGCACGGTTGCTCTATGGCAAAGGAGCTACCATGAAAGCATTGTATTCGGAAAATTTTCGTCGCCGAGTATGCGATTTGTTTCATCAAAAACCTTTGTTCGTGCATAAATGACGTGACATACTTCAGCCGAGTTCCGAAGCGTCGGGGTATTTGCAACGGCGATTATGTTCTGCTTTGTCTATGCTGCGTGAAAAATGAGAATGTCCCATTGTCACATTCATTCGAATTCATTCAGTTTCGTTCACAGAGTAGCGGAATGCGTTTACAAGACGACGGAAACCTTTTCGACTGCTTACACCGCTACACTATGGTAAGAAGTATTGTTTCTCAGATGAAAAACACCGATGTTCACAGCTTCTCCTAGCGCATCTGCTTTTCTATCGATGTTTTATGCGTTCTTTCAGTTCGTCGGTGTTGTTTCGTGTCTTCAGCATGTCCTAATGGACGGCCTCCTAACCCTGCCTCTTCTGACGGACGTCTTCTATCTCATTTGCGCTCACTACGGCTGTTCCTCACGAAACTCCTACACGAGGGCGCAAGTGCAAAAGTTCTGGCAGAGCACCAGGATCAGGGTAAACATAGATCGTTTCAAAGGGAAACAGTTGTTTCTTTCTTTAGCTATGGCTTCTTTCCAGACATTTCTTCAAATTTTCTCCATGACTGTACTATCTCTACTGCGTGTCATCCTTCTATCTCTACACGAATCAGAAGTGGATGACACTATTGCTGTGGTGAGGAACTTGCTGGGATATCTTAGATAATTTTTTGAGTTTATGTTTAAAGAATTTAGATTTTTCAAAATTGGAGAAAGTATGCCATTTTCAGTACTTGGCGTACATCCAGTTGTCGATCGCGTTCACTGACAACCTCAGTTTGTGCTGTGAATTGGAGGAGACTCAGTACAGACGGAGGGATTTCCGACGGCACGTACAGCGACAAGCCGCTGCTGCTGCTTGAGTGTTCGCTTCTCACCTCACCGGGCTCGTGACTGCCTCCGCTCAGGATTTCGGCGATGGGTGAGCTTCGAACATTCGACTTCATAATGTGTCTGTTTGTTTTCGTTAGAGATGCGTGTGTCTGTGTATTCAGAATAATTCATCAGGTATTTGATATTTCAATCGGTGTGCCTATTTTCTTTTGTTGGACGCTTGTGAACTGTTCCGTTCATGTATATATTATCCCTTATTGTATAAATCGATTCATTATCAATTGAGAGTTTGCGTCTTAAAGGTGGTCGATGTGTCTTTCGTTGATCGGTGTCGACGTTGTTCACATCTCCTTAGCTGAGCGCGTGTATTCGAACAATAGGCGCGTGTGGCGCAGTGATTGGAGGCGCCACTGCGACACACACGTGGAATCGATTCCCACGCCCATGGTTCACCAAGCCTTCCATTCCTCCGCAATCGGCAGATTGGTACCAAACTTATCTGAGAGGATAGCAGCAATGGCTCAATATATCGGTAGGCCACCGCGAGTCATTTCAAAGGCCAGGTATGTATTCATTCACCTCTAAACGGTGATTAATGAAGTCGAATGCATGGTGCATCCCTCAGGGATTGATCCACGCCGAGAGCTTTATCTTTCTATTTATCCACAAAATTCGATGAGCGTCAAACTATAGGGGACTTGAGCCGTCGTCGCTCATCGTCTGTTTTTCTTGGTAGCTGGGCCACACGAAATTCTCCACTTGGGAATGAAGATGTGTTTTAAAGTTGACGTTCCACAGAAATTCAGTTTGAAAAGTTGCATCCGACATAGTTATATACTCCTCATTGTCAAACGGGCTAAATTCTGAAGTTTTGTTTACGACAGAAGTTTAGAAACTTGAAGATTTTCGTCCTCTGTGGCCTCTCAAACACCTCATGGGTTTGATTAGTACTGTTCGCACTGGACACCTTAACGTTCAACGTGAGATGGCAACGATGCAAATGGACGTGTCGATGTGCCTCAACGGCGATTTGATGGCGATGCCGTCAGCCTTTGATTCGTTCTCACAAAATTTGCTGAGTCTAAGTCTACGCTCTAAATATCTTATATTCTCACCCACATTTCATCACGCCCGAGTTCAAAAGCTCCAATCTTTTCAAGGAGGCATTGTGTGGATGCAGACTATGTAGCACGCACAATGTGTTCCTATTTAGGAATACGTTGGTACTAGTTAACAATATGAAAACAGTCATTGCAAAGTGCACCTTTTGTTTCTCCCGACACTTGCTACACTATGTGTAGTGGGTGATCTGTCAGCAGAGTGAAGATTTCGGTGATGCTGAGATATTAGTATAGATATATCACAGCATCATTGAAGTTGTATTTCGCAATGTACCTTGCCATCAAAAAGAGTAGGCAGTAAATAATAGGTTAACATTGTGATTATAACTACAGCCTCAGCTTAACTGGGTTCGTTGCTGATTTGGGCTCCTCGGATCAATCCCGCCGACGGATGATTGCTGATGGCAAAAGATCGACAGAACTAGCTGAGAGAAAGGCGAAACGAAGGGCCCGCATGGTGTGGTGGTGAATGCGTTAGCTCCCGGAAAGGGTAATTAGCGCGTTCGTCCCTACCGCATAGAACTGCAGCCCGGAGGAGTTTTGCAAATATTCAGCATCATTGAAGTTATATTTCGCAATATATTTTGCCATTAAAAAGAGTAAGAAGTAAATTATAAGTTAAAAGATCGAAAATTATTGTAGAGAAGCTCTACGACTGATAAACAACAGCAAAGAAATTGAGTCATATATCACTCATGTTGGGCATTGCGTATCAAGGCATAAAATCCGATATTTATTGAGTACAATGCATTGGTACAAGAAAAATGGCATCTTTCAAGTTTAAACGGGCATGTCTCAGCTCGTTTTGAACTTTCCTTATTAGAATGAAGCCACCAGAACGCGCGTCTCTATCCCCACGGTGCAAAGGTTATTATAATAATATTCGGAAGTTTTGATTTTCTGGAACTGTTCGGCTTTTTGCACCTTTCTTCGTCGGATTTCGAGCATGAAGCACCTGAACAGTCGGTATTTCGTTGAACAGGACGCGATCGTATCCCACAGTGCATACGTATCCCAGCTAACGCTTTTGCCTTGCTAACTTCAAAGATTTAAATTTCTTTTTCCGTTTTTCGATAATTAAAATCTCAATTGTATTAAAAACTCAGAGCATATTTCATAAAATCATGCAATTATTGCGACGAGGCTAAATCTCTTCTATAAGCCTGTGAAGTTCCCAGTTCTTAAAAACTTAGATTTAGAGATTATTGTCAGTTGTCCGCGGTTGCGTGTTGAATTTTTGAAACAAATGTGAAACTAACTAGAGCACAAGCCAGAATTTTTATACACAGATAAGCACGCAGATCGATTCGTCGAGGTTTCTTCGTGGTTTTTGTCCATCTTATGAAATATCTTACATAATTGTGTTCATGTTGTTGAGCTTAGACAACAGGTTAAGACATGAACACACTGTGTGTGAAGAGATGCTTATTCGGCTAACGTTTCAGCGTCTTCTTCTTCATCAGAGCCGACGATCCTTGTCCATGGTCCACAGTTGTTCCTCTTCTCGATGTGGCGTCATCGTGTCGCATCGAGCCAGATCTTACCTTCAAAATTAGCTTACGTATTTTTTTGTACTGGTACAAATCCATTTGAAAAGAAAAAAACAGGAAAGGGCTAGGAAATTATTTCTGCTAACAGTTTCTTCTAATGTTCAGAAATAAAACTCATAATACAATCAGGAATACATGGATTTTGTTATCCGTTGTTAAGACATGAACGCATTCTGTGTGAAGATCTTTGAATTGGAGGAGAAGGAAGAGAGAAATTCTCCTTAGATGACGTCGCATAAGAAAACATTTCTAGTCTTACGGCGTCTGCAAGAGGATCGCTTCATTGTTCAGAGGGATAGAGACTGTTTTATTCATTTATTGCAGATGTAAAGAAATCCCTCCCAATGGTTCACTTCCTCGTCATGGCTGGAAGGTGCTCCTGGGTGTGGGGCTGCGATGTACAGCAAAGGGTTCATCCCTCCAGCAGAATCTCCCAACTGAGAAGGAGTCCAACGTTCTCACCTGGAAGCCCAGCTAAGAACAAATCGATGGCAGAAGTCACCATCATATTGGCACCAAAGTAGTCGTATGGTCGCAAATCTTCTAATCCACAAGGGCGGCAACTGCCTCGGGCGGTGAAGATTTCAGGAAAGCTTCGGCCAGGCCAACCTCCTGACTCCATAGTATCACAATGGCTAATCTAGCAGGTGGAAATTGTGCTGGGGTCCACACCACTGCTGAAGATGGGCCATCCAAGAAGTAAATGAAAAAAATGTACCGTTAAAGCTTACAACGCTTCGGAACTTTCAAACTGACTACTTATCATTCGTCAAGGTCCATGAAATTATAGCGAAGTGACACATTGACACATAGTATTGTCATTCTAGATCTCTATAAATTGATATCTCGAATTCTTTAGCTTTTGACAGTTTCAAAAAAGTGAATGGCCGAAATTGGTTAGGCCAATAGTTCTTTCCGTTAGTAATCATCATCTCTTATTTTTCAACTAATGGTAAGAGCAAAGTTCATGAAGTTCACTAAGTAGTTCATGAAAAACCCATGGTGCAAGGGCGAAAAAACTGAATTGGATGGCTCTCTCATTGCAGAGACCATCTCGTACGCTTACCTTGGGCGATCAATGAACATGGAAAACAACATGAAAGAGGAACTAGATAGAAGGAAGAAAGCAGCTTGGGCCGCATTCGGGCCTCTCAAAGAAGCCACCGACCAATTGAAGGACCCGAAAATCAGCGCTCATCTCTTTGATTCTACGGTCCTCCCAGCGCTCTGTTATAATGCAGAGACGTGGGTTGATACTTCAACTACGTCAAGAATGCTCCGAATTACTCACAGAGCGCTTGAGCGATGTCTTCTGAAATATAGCCGGCATACTCAATATCTAGCCGGAATGCGAAGTTCTAGCCTTCGAAATCTGTCACATCTTCGAGATCCAGGAGAATATACATCCACAGTGAAACATAGATGGACCGGTCACGTAATGAGAAGAACAGACGACAGATGGACGAAAAGAACAGTAGAGTAGACTCCAAGAGAATGCAAACGTCCCCCTGGACGACCACCTACACGTTGAGCGGTCGTGTTCGTAAACAAAATTAATCATCTGTACCCGCAACTGCAGTTGTTTTACAGATTACGGTATGAGACTCGCAAGCGCTACCATGCTCGACCAAGACCACCACCATGGACGACCAATGCGAGAGAGAGGAAAGAATGGCATATGTACTGAGGTCCGCACAGCTCGTGAAAACGGACCGTCCAAGTAATCCAAGTAAGGTAGGAGTAAATAACCTAGAGGCAAATCCTTTCCAGGCTTTTTTTCCATTTGGCTCTTTTTTATATTCAAATATGGAATTACTTAATGCTAACACCAAGTATTTATCAAGAATTCATCACACGATTGGCACACATGTTAACGAAACGTTTGCACGAGCGCTATGAGTTAAGATAATCAAGAATCGAGTACAAATCAAAACAAAACTTGTAGTTATCTGACTACAATATATTAAACATGCAACACAATGGAAATCAATAGAAAATGTAGACAGAGTTAGTAGTATAAATCAGAGGAATCTTTTGCACCATTGCTGCTAAACGTCTTTCGTTTCTGTTCGGTAAATCTCGTGTAGAAAATGCGGCTGAGTTGCTCAGAATCCGGATTTTGCATGAATGGAACACGTATCACCATACGGCGCTTCACTGGCAAGCTCATCGGTTCCGCAATGATCCTAAAACAGTTGAGTGTCATGTCCGTGAATTCTATCATCCTACGAACCGATTACCCCCATGAGGATTAGCCGATTCGCATCGTACCGTCGTGTGAAGCAACTGTGGATAGACTGAGAATGGAGAAATTGAAATTCGACAGCGATTGCGCTTCGGAATGATGGTGTTTGTTGA